CGGCGCCGCCCGCGCCCTGCTGGAGCTCACCACCAACACGGCCGCCCGCGCCACCCCCGGCCCCGCCGGCACGGGCATCGGCGTGGACGTGGACATGGACAGCGACTCCAGCGACCCGGACGGATCCGCCCTGGTGAGACGCCGCTCGCGTGCCAGTGCCAGCACCAGCACACGACCGCCGTGCCACACTCCCCCCTGCTGCTGCTGCGGTGTCACCGACAGCCTCCGCCACATGCACGCATACTGCTTGTATTATAAAACCAGCATTTCCACAACTCCCAGCTGTTGTAGTTTTGCCGACAGCCTCTGTGCGTGCGCACGCACCACTTGTATTATAAAACCAGCATTTCTGCAACTTTTAACTCTTGCTGGGGTGCCACCGACAGCCTCTGCGCTTGCACACGCACCTCTCGTATTAGAAAACCAGCATTTCTGCAACTTTTAACTATTGTTAGAAAAACCGGCATTTTCACAATTCCCAACCTATTTTTGTAGTTTCACCGACAGCCTCCATGTGTGCGCACACGCCATTTTTATTATAAAATCAGCATTTTCACAACTCCCTACCTATTTTTGTCATTTCACCAACAGTCTCCATGCGTGCGCATGCAGCACTTTTATTAGTACAAGCAGAGGAAAAATAAAACAAGCATTTTCACAACTTTCAACCTGTTCTTGTAGTTTCATGAACAGCCTCTGTGCTTGCACACATGCACCATTTTTATTATAAAACGGGAATTTTCACAACTTTCAACCTATTTTTTGTTCGGCTGCAATGAACATTGCCTGTTGTTAGTAGGGAAATGCCAGATGTCACTGAAGATCTTAAGACAAGCTGTAAATTATGGGGGTCTGTTTATTGCTGGTAGTTAGGGCTAAGCAGCAAGGCCATGTTCATGGAGATGAACTGGACTTGTTTGAATAATTTTTCCTTTATAAATAATGAACCTGTAATTTTAAAAAAGGGGGTGGAGGTTTCTATGTGTGATCTCTGCTGTATAATCAATTTCAGAGATTTCATAGATGTTAGGGCTGGAAGGGACCTCACGAGATCATCAAGCTAATAACGATCTCTCTTTACAGGCTTTGCTGTTCTGATATAAGCAGCCCATTCTGGGTGCTTCCTTACT